TGAAAGAGTTTTTTTTTTATGCAAATAAGTAATTGCTTTGTTTATAGAGTTGAAATACTGCCTGTGGAAGTTTTTTGCAATATACCTAATAAAAAATATAATAATATCAACGGATCTCGTTTAAAAATAGAATAGCGGTAAATAATCGGATGTTTGGTTTTTGTTTGAAATCAAAGACCTCCAAATTCCCAAAACGGAATCTGTTCAGTTATTGTTTATCGAAAAATTTATTTCTAGAGATGATTGTCAGTTACAATCCTTGAACAGTTAAAGGTTCAAGTCAAATAAATGGTAATAATTACTAAGTAATTTGCAATGTTTTGTACATTTCCTATTAGAAAATTGAAAAAGTTTAAAGTACCAAACACAGCGGCAGGCGAAAGGTCGGATAACCCCATCGAAGGAGGAGAAATAACCCTACATCAAGGCAATTAAGTCCGATTGATTGAACATTCACCGAGCGGCATGGCCTAGAGGTCTAGATCATTGCTTAGCAGTCGGGAGGACGCGAGTTCGTTTCCAGGTCCGTCTGCCTTAGTCCAAGTTTTTCTGTGGTTTCCTTCCTTAGATCACTTAGGCAAACGCTGGGGCAGTAATATTCCACAGATAATCTTTCACTCTCTTCTGTCTTCATTTTGTCCGTCTCATCTTTCTCACCCGAGCCATCACTTACCCATTCCCACGATTCCTGAAAGGAGGTTGAAGAGGGCCTTCCGCTTTATCTTCCGGGGGGACAGCCCGCCCACCAGCATTAGTAGCTGGTGTGAATGAAACACCCAAAAGCTTTTTTCTTTGAACATGCACCTTTACTTCTTTCTATCATGAGTCAATCTCCACATTTTTTAGAAACTTGAGCAACCAACATCTCCAATAACTATTTGTAAACAGTAATCTGCCTGGGTCTATCTATACACTTTAAAACTCCTGTTTCTATTTCTAATATATCTCTAAGTGGTCCTTTATGTTTATGCTTGACAAGGTGTCCCATTAATCTGCCTCGTCTATTTCTAATTTTCTGATTTAAATGACGCCCTCTATCATTATTACTTTCTAATGCTTATTCTTGTCCAACCTTTTCTACCCACAGTATTTTTAACAACCTCCTATAATATCACAATTGAAATGCTGTTTCAGCAGGACCCACCTTCCAAGTCTCATCCCCCGTACGGAGCCATGCTCCAAACATAGACCTTTAGTCTTTTCTTAAGTTCCTTCTACTTTATGGTCTCCTATTTTTATATTTGTTCTAACTCTACCTTTACATCTCTTACATATCGATGTTTCTGTTCAATTGTTATTTTTATTTATGTCATCTGTTCTATCCACACGGTTTATATTTATTTATTATTATTAAAAAGCTAACTCTAACGCTTCTTTGCTAGATGTTAACACTGTTATATCATCAGCAAATTTAAGCATGCTCATCTTTTAATTCAATTACTCGCAATTTCAATATAAAAATTTAAAAATTAGTTAATAGTTATAAACTGCATCTCTAAATCTCATCCGTACATCCTTAATTGTTTGTAACATCATCTCCTATTCGACATCGTCAAAACTTTCTTCTAGATCTACGAATCCTATGTATACGCTTTTGTTTTATTGTTTTCTTAAGTGATATCCTTAAAGCTAAGATGACCTTATGCGTTCCCCTGTTCCTTCTAAACCCGAATTGGTTATCCCCCAAAATTTCCTTCGCCCCGATTTTTCATCCTTTTCTGTATAATTGTAAAGATTTTCGACGCATGAAAAGTTAAGCTAATTGTTCGAAAATTGTGGCAACTTTCCGGGTCTCTCTTTTTATGTATATATATATATAACCTTATTCCTTTTGCAATTATCCCATTTCGTGACAAACGATCTCTAAACTTTTTGGTGCCTTACTATTCCTTAAAATTTTCAGTACTAGTTCAAATTCTTCTCTATTTCCGATGATATCCTCGGAAGTAGTCCGCACCCAGACATCCGAGTGGGAGACTAGTTTATGTCCGGAATGCTGTACCCCAGTGAAATTTCGGTGGGTTGTCCTATGAATATCATAAAGTGGTGGATTCCCATTGTCTTCCATATCGCAGCGACATTCATCACAGTCTCTGCCACCATCAGTCCTGAAAGAACTGCCACCTTCTTCCAAGAATATTTTTCACTTTTACTTTTCACTAATTGCAAGTACACTTCGATTACGGTTGAAAAAATGGTCTGACTTTTTAAATCATCAAAACGTGCATGCTGATCATCTACTCGTTCTTAAAAAATAGATTCAATGAACGCCGCCACTGGATTTTACTATAATAGGTACCTAGTTTTATTTTGGTTTGGGATAGATTTTAGCGAACCTTCACATAACGAGATTGAAGGTTTTAACAATTACATTTAGGTTTTCTTATTAATTTCTACTTTATTTGACCTAACCCTGTCTCTCTGTCTGTCGACCAAATTACTGTTTTAGAAGATTAATCACCTCGAAATATACTCATTGAAACAGTACTCTTTTTGCGCCTTGCACACTAGAAAAACATTGTTCTAGGTTGCTTAAGGTCAAGGCTCATTAACAAAATCATAACTATTGAAAGATTTAGCAAGGGTATAATACTATAATATTTGTGTACATACATGTGCATATGTATGAGTGCGTTGGAGTTGCGGGGCATTATTTTCAGAGGTCACAGCTGACTTAATATAATGTCAATATAACTATTAACGGTTTCAATGGTTTTGTTTGTTTTAGGAATTCGAACGGAACTAAAATAAAGATAAACAATCGGGAATTGACGAAATTTCATGTAACTTTTGTGTCAAATTTTATATAGGAACAACCGGAAGGAATTTTTAATTAAGAATATATGAACATAAAAATCCTTTTTTAACAATAAAATTGAGGTATTATGTATGTGGGTATTAAATTTTCCGAATTCAAAATATAAAACAACGCAAAATTAATCTCTCTAGGGCTACAGTTGAATGAAAAATTTTGATGTATTGCGTTCACAAATTTATTGTTCTGTTTAGGTATTATTGACATCAATTAAATCAATACAATGTTACACCGTAGCATGCGCTAAATTTTTAAATTAACATAACAACTAGCTAATTAAAATAATGCAAATAATTAAAGCTAGTAATACTATCTTCATTTGTTTAAAACATTGTGATTGTTATATACTTTTGTTGAAAACCCTACCACAAACACACAACACTGTAAGGATTGCACACGTGTGCCTAGTAGATTGAATCTTTTACGTAATTTTAGAAATGAAAATGATATGGTAACATAACAAATACTCTTGTTCATTAGCATGTAATTGAAAAATAAATTATTAATTGTTGTTACATTTTAATTAACTGAACCTTGAATTTAGACTGAGAGGTAAATAATAATTAAAACATTAAAAGTGAAATTAGATCTCCTTTTTTCTCAATATGTTATGTCTATGTTATCGCTTCCAATAGATTAGAAATTCTCTCAAAAGTTTAATCTTATTTTAAAACAATATTGTTGAGATAATAAATATATTTAGTGAAATAATCCTGAGATTTTAATATTAATGTGAAAATTTATTTAATTTTTATACACTACAAATAACCTTAGGTAAATGTCTAAATGATGGCCCCTTCGGGGATCGAAAGGGGAGGTCTCCCCCACCACTGTACCATAAAAAGTTCGTGGCGGTCTCACCCCCATAAAAAGTTGTGGGGGTTAGATGGGTTGGAGGTAGGGGGGATCGAATGAGGGTAGGGGGGATCGGAAGAGGGTGGTCACCTGAGTAAAACCACATAAAAATTTGCGGCGGTCTCAGCCCCGTAAAAAGTTATGGGGGTTGAAAGTTGATTATTTTGACAATTTTCATACACTATAATTCAAATAATATTCAATAAAAAAAAATATTTTCAAGCGGGTGGAGGTGGGGGACCGAAAGAGGGTGGTCACTTGAACAATACCCGATAACCTAACCTAACCTACCCTATTGATTTAAATAATGTTTTATATAACTTTCTCAATATTTTTATGTATTTTTCCATCAGTTTTACCTTTGAACATTGTTTAAGAATGACTATATAAATATTTACATGCCTAGAAATGTATAAAAATTGACATATTTATTAACTTTGAACCCCCATAACTTTCTAAACCTTTATCTAACCTTAAATTAATGACGAAAAATTGTTGCTGCTGGCACTCGCCGGGAATCGAACCCTCGAACTTGGGTTTCACGAATCAATGTCTTGATCACTATACTACGAAAAGTTGCAGCAGCATTAAATCTAACTAATGTATATAATGTACATATTAACATCACATAAAATTTTATATAAAAGTATGTTTCGTAGTTCTAGCTGTTATCATTTCTCGTAGCTTCGCGATAAGAACATTGACGCGTAAAGTCAACGTTCCGGGGTTTCATTCCCGGCGAGGGTGTGACAGCAACAAATTTTTTTTTCTCTTTAATTGATGGTAATTTGTAGTGGATAAAAATTAAATGAAGAAACAGATGAGCTTCTACCTCATTGCTAGATCATTAGAATGGGAAATTGATTCCATGGCGTAGAATCTTTCGTCGTGGCTCGTCATTCATATCAACTAATCAAGTAATAGCTAGAAAGAATTCTTGGTTTTAATAATTAATTCATATTTACGTATTACATCTAGAAATAAACAGATGGAAAATTTCAGGACGTCACATGGGCGGTGACGGAATAGTTTAAGTTTTATCTCTGAAAATATCGCGCATATAAAATCAATAATGTTACACAACGTATTTCGATTTGTATTGATTGGAAGATACGCCTGAAGAAGGAAACAAAATTTTTCTAAAGACACTTCCTCATACGATTCTAAAACGTTCCATTGAAAATAAGAAAATACTATACAAGACTATAATTTAGCATAAATTTGGGAAGAATATAAAAAAAATGCTTATTTTTACAGTCAAACCTGGGTAAGCGAGAATTCAAGGTACCTGAATATTATCCTCACTCATAGAGTTTTCTAATTTATAGAGGTTAATAAAAATCGAACATAAACATGGTGCTAAAGCGTTAAGAATTAGGTAATACATAAGTATATACACATTTGGCTAAAAATAGGTCTCTAATATAAAATTTCAGAAATCATTTTAAATCAGTATAATATCATGCTAAGACCGAACTTACGAGAAATATTATCTCTCTTACGGTCATATTTATACATACAATTAACCGTCAATAGCTAGTTGACGACTCACTATATTNACTTCCATTTTGCACTATTCAACTTGTCGCACTGACTGATTTTCTTTAAAAACGAATGACACTGTATTAGATATATATTTTTATTACTTTTGCGGCGCCGCAACAAAACCGCAAAAATACCAACAAGTGTGCAGCAAACTTTGCGGTGCCGCTGCGGGCCCGCGGCGGCAAACTGTCGCAAGTGTGCACCGGCACTTACTTCTCTACGTTACAGCCCCATCTCTACAACTGCCCGTTGCTCTTTATACAAACTGTAAGTATCACTCTTCTATCTCTGTAACTCATCCCTACATTTTTAAGTATATTGTCTTATCCCATTTAATATTGTCAAAAGCTTTTTCTAAATCTACACATCCTATGTACGCACTCTTTCTTTTTTCTATGGTTTTTTCTATTGTTACCCATAAAGCTAGAATGGCCTTCCACGTTCCTTTATTTCTTTTAAACCCAAATTAATCTTCTCGTAATAGTTCTTTTTTCCATCCTCCTCTGTACAATTCTAGTTAAGATTTTTGACGCATGGGAAGTTAAGCTAATTGTTCTAAATGTCTTCCACCTATCCGCGCTTCCCGTTAATAATCCTCTGGAACATTCCCCGTCTCGTAAACATGACTAACTAGCTTAAACATACTATCTCTAACCTCTTGTCCTGCATCCTACCCCTGACCCCTTATTATTCTTTAATTCTTTTAATGCTACATCGAACTCTTCTCTCATTATGGGATAACTTAACTCATCTCCACACTATCTTCCTTCTCTAATATATCTCCTAACTCAGGGCCTGCGTAGAGGTTCTTTAAGTATTCTTTCCACCTGTCTGCCTTTTACTCATTTTCTATCAAAATGAGCCCTGCCTCGTTTCTTATATTATTACTACTGTACCCTAAATGTCTAAAATTCCTTTTAATTATATCACACACCTCTTGTCCTGCATGTTCTAGAATTTCCCCCTGTATCCCATTTACACCTGGCGCCTTATTATTTGAAAACCGGCGAAAAAATATACACATTTTTCGAATATACTAAGTACGTTTCATTTATTCCACGAAGTCATTATGCGTATGACTTCATTACCAATTTTATGTTCGCTAACCAAAAACCTTGAAATGAGCAAAATATGCAATGGGTCAGTAAAAATTCCATTTTTTGAGTTATTATAATAATTCATAAGTTTAATTTATATTTCAAGTGTTTGTGAGATGGAAATCCATTAGTGTATATTTTTTATGCATATTAGAATCTACAAAAATATTGAATTAAACTTAGTACCCTCTTTAATATGTATTCAAACATAGGTGCTTTGCCTACTTGTTACAAATATTTGTTCTTGCTGTATTGATATTATTTATCACCTGCTTAAATGTTTTCAATTGTAAGAGCTTATTGTATTATATGATATCATTATGTTAACAGTTGTGCTCATCAAAACCTCGGATGTAGTATTTTTTTAACAGAAAGACACGAAAAAAACAATACAAAGTCAAAAGGTCTATCTGCACTCCGTTATTGTAATTATAAAGTCAATTTACAAAGTTTACATACTTATGAAAGAGTTTTTTTTTTATGCAAATAACTAATTGCTTTGTTTATAGAGTTGAAATACTGCCTGTGGAAGTTTTTTGCAATATACCTAATAAAAAATATAATAATATCAACGGATCTCGTTTAAAAATAGAATAGCGGTAAATAATCGGATGTTTGGTTTTTGTTTGAAATCAAAGACCTCCAAATTCCCAAAACGGAATCTGTTCAGTTATTGTTTATCGAAAAATTTATTTCTAGAGATGATTGTCAGTTACAATCCTTGAACAGTTAAAGGTTCAAGTCAAATAAATGGTAATAATTACTAAGTAATTTGCAATGTTTTGTACATTTCCTATTAGAAAATTGAAAAAGTTTAAAGTACCAAACACAGCGGCAGGCGAAAGGTCGGATAACCCCATCGAAGGAGGAGAAATAACCCTACATCAAGGCAATTAAGTCCGATTGATTGAACATTCACCGAGCGGCATGGCCTAGAGGTCTAGATCATTGCTTAGCAGTCGGGAGGACGCGAGTTCGTTTCCAGGTCCGTCTGCCTTAGTCCAAGTTTTTCTGTGGTTTCCTTCCTTAGATCACTTAGGCAAACGCTGGGGCAGTAATATTCCACAGATAATCTTTCACTCTCTTCTGTCTTCATTTTGTCCGTCTCATCTTTCTCACCCGAGCCATCACTTACCCATTCCCACGATTCCTGAAAGGAGGTTGAAGAGGGCCTTCCGCTTTATCTTCCGGGGGGACAGCCCGCCCACCAGCATTAGTAGCTGGTGTGAATGAAACACCCAAAAGCTTTTTTCTTTGAACATGCACCTTTACTTCTTTCTATCATGAGTCAATCTCCACATTTTTTAGAAACTTGAGCAACCAACATCTCCAATAACTATTTGTAAACAGTAATCTGCCTGGGTCTATCTATACACTTTAAAACTCCTGTTTCTATTTCTAATATATCTCTAAGTGGTCCTTTATGTTTATGCTTGACAAGGTGTCCCATTAATCTGCCTCGTCTATTTCTAATTTTCTGATTTAAATGACGCCCTCTATCATTATTACTTTCTAATGCTTATTCTTGTCCAACCTTTTCTACCCACAGTATTTTTAACAACCTCCTATAATATCACAATTGAAATGCTGTTTCAGCAGGACCCACCTTCCAAGTCTCATCCCCCGTACGGAGCCATGCTCCAAACATAGACCTTTAGTCTTTTCTTAAGTTCCTTCTACTTTATGGTCTCCTATTTTTATATTTGTTCTAACTCTACCTTTACATCTCTTACATATCGATGTTTCTGTTCAATTGTTATTTTTATTTATGTCATCTGTTCTATCCACACGGTTTATATTTATTTATTATTATTAAAAAGCTAACTCTAACGCTTCTTTGCTAGATGTTAACACTGTTATATCATCAGCAAATTTAAGCATGCTCATCTTTTAATTCAATTACTCGCAATTTCAATATAAAAATTTAAAAATTAGTTAATAGTTATAAACTGCATCTCTAAATCTCATCCGTACATCCTTAATTGTTTGTAACATCATCTCCTATTCGACATCGTCAAAACTTTCTTCTAGATCTACGAATCCTATGTATACGCTTTTGTTTTATTGTTTTCTTAAGTGATATCCTTAAAGCTAAGATGACCTTATGCGTTCCCCTGTTCCTTCTAAACCCGAATTGGTTATCCCCCAAAATTTCCTTCGCCCCGATTTTTCATCCTTTTCTGTATAATTGTAAAGATTTTCGACGCATGAAAAGTTAAGCTAATTGTTCGAAAATTGTGGCAACTTTCCGGGTCTCTCTTTTTATGTATATATATATATAACCTTATTCCTTTTGCAATTATCCCATTTCGTGACAAACGATCTCTAAACTTTTTGGTGCCTTACTATTCCTTAAAATTTTCAGTACTAGTTCAAATTCTTCTCTATTTCCGATGATATCCTCGGAAGTAGTCCGCACCCAGACATCCGAGTGGGAGACTAGTTTATGTCCGGAATGCTGTACCCCAGTGAAATTTCGGTGGGTTGTCCTATGAATATCATAAAGTGGTGGATTCCCATTGTCTTCCATATCGCAGCGACATTCATCACAGTCTCTGCCACCATCAGTCCTGAAAGAACTGCCACCTTCTTCCAAGAATATTTTTCACTTTTACTTTTCACTAATTGCAAGTACACTTCGATTACGGTTGAAAAAATGGTCTGACTTTTTAAATCATCAAAACGTGCATGCTGATCATCTACTCGTTCTTAAAAAATAGATTCAATGAACGCCGCCACTGGATTTTACTATAATAGGTACCTAGTTTTATTTTGGTTTGGGATAGATTTTAGCGAACCTTCACATAACGAGATTGAAGGTTTTAACAATTACATTTAGGTTTTCTTATTAATTTCTACTTTATTTGACCTAACCCTGTCTCTCTGTCTGTCGACCAAATTACTGTTTTAGAAGATTAATCACCTCGAAATATACTCATTGAAACAGTACTCTTTTTGCGCCTTGCACACTAGAAAAACATTGTTCTAGGTTGCTTAAGGTCAAGGCTCATTAACAAAATCATAACTATTGAAAGATTTAGCAAGGGTATAATACTATAATATTTGTGTACATACATGTGCATATGTATGAGTGCGTTGGAGTTGCGGGGCATTATTTTCAGAGGTCACAGCTGACTTAATATAATGTCAATATAACTATTAACGGTTTCAATGGTTTTGTTTGTTTTAGGAATTCGAACGGAACTAAAATAAAGATAAACAATCGGGAATTGACGAAATTTCATGTAACTTTTGTGTCAAATTTTATATATGAACAAAAG